GGAAGAAGCTAAAGTGCTCTGGGACTTTAGAATTCAAACAGATAAGCACATAACACCCCAGAATTAACAACTGTTGATAAGAAAGACAAAAAAAGTCTGGATAGTGGACATTGAAATACCTGGAGACAGCAGAATAGAAGAGAAGGAACTGGAGAGAATCACAAAATATAAAGACCTGCAAATAGAAGTAGAACAGCTATGGCAAAAACAAGCAAAGATAGTACTAATAGTAATAGGCGCCTTGGGTGCAATCCCAAAACATCTGGCGTACACTTGAAGACCATCGGCATTGACAAAATCACCATCAGGCAGTTGCAAAAGGCAACTTTACTTGGAACAGCTTACATCCTGCGATGATATCTTTAACACCATCAGACAACATCTGCCTATCCCAGGTCCTTGGGAAGGACTTGATAGATAGATAAAAATGCCAAATCCAGTCTAAAGATCTGGCTGACTGTGGGACCAACAACAACAACAACAATAATAATAATAAATATGTCACATCCTTGTCATAATCTTTGCTCAGTGTTGAACAATTTGCTAAGCATTCCATGTATGTTCACATATATTCTAGTTCCATCATATACTGATGTTACTGCTTTCAGCAACTAACTTATTCCATATTCACACAAAGTGTGTCCTAATTCATTTTCTCACATGTTTTCTCTAAATTAATAAATTTTCTCTCACACATTCATACATTTCTTAGTGATCTGTGGAATCCCCACACAGCATCAAGCTACACTGGACTTCTCCCGTTTAGCTGCTTGCCATCTATCATGCCCTTTCAATCAGAATTCTGGCAAACACCTTCCCAGACACACTTAGTTTACTCTCAATTTTTGCATTTGCTGTACTTTTTCCTTTGGCAGTGTTCCCATATACATTCCTCATGGATAGGCACATTATGACTTATTTAACATTTGACATACATATAAAACATGTCAGAGACCCACTCCATAAGCAAATGAATCACATCCATATTTTAACATTTTCTTGATTACTGTGTATGTGTGTGTATCTGTAACCTTATCACGTGTTCAACATTCTCACAACATTTTTCTTTGGATACTTAATGTAAAGCATTCATTTTACATCCACCATTCAACATAATGCTATCATTTCCATACAAATCTGTCAAACACTCCTTCCACCATTACTTCATTTCAGTTTCATAAGAAAGAATTCAATCTCACTTATGTTTAATTCTGATCAGTCTGCTAGAAGCTCCATGTTTAGCTGTTTCACTTGCAGAGACTCATATATTTGGAAGGGATTATAGAGGTAATCTAGTTCATCCTTGTGCTCAGCGTAGACTGCACTAGAGCATCTCTGATAGATAACCATCCAACCTGTTTGAAGACTTAGCTGAGGCAAATTCATCATATTGTGTGGCAGTACGTCCTGATGTCTAGCCTGAACCACCTCCTTTGTAATTTTAGCCCTTTAATTCTTTGGTTCTGGTCTTGTAATAGAGAATAAGTTGACTCCCTCTTTTGTGTGACAGCCCTTCGCATATTTGAAGACTGTTATTCTGTCCTCATTAGTTGTCTTTTGTGTAGGGTCAATGTACTCACTTCCTTTTGTTGATCTTCATAGAGTTTGGTTTGCAGACCTTTCATTCCTTAGTAGCTCTTCTCTGAATCTATTTCTATTTGTCACTGTCCTTTTTAAACGATGGTGCCCATAAATAAACACAGTACTCCAAATGAGTTTCATCCAGGGCAGAGCAGAGTGGAGCAGTTACTTCCCATGATTTAGACTCTGTATTCATGTTAAAGCACCTCAAGTTAGTATTCATCTTTTGTTAGCTGTATCGCACTGCTGGCTCGTGTTTAAATTGTGGAAATAGATTACTCATTAGTTTGTATGGAAGCATGAATGAAGTAGCTCTTCTTTGTGTTTCAATGTTTTTATTAAGGTGGTTGTAACCCTGAGTGTAGAATTTGCACAGAAAAATGAACTGGCAAGGATTGCCAATCTAAAGGAAGAGGAAATTTCACTGATGAAACCAATAGGAACTCAGCTGGAAAATAATTACCATAGAAAGGAATACCCAGAAGAATTAAATAGTCATATAAATGAGAAGAGATGCACTGAGTATGAAGAATTGTGTGGTAAAATGTCATCACTTGAAGGACACTTTGAACCTGATGCTAAACATGGTACAATATATAAAGTGCCACATTTTAATCTAAAGCTTTCAACAGACTCTCCCTCCCATGAAGAAGAAATTATTGAAAAGATATCTATGGTAAGTAAACTAAATACATTTTAAGAATATAGTTTAATTTTATAAAAGTCTCTTTTACTTTCACCAGTGCATAATAGCAAATGGTCTGTTAGCATATAGTTTAATTTTATAAAAGTCTCTTTTACTTTCACCAGTGCATAATAGCAAATGGTCTGTTAGCATATAGTTTAATTTTATAAAAGTCTCTTTTACTTTCACCAGTGCATAATAGCAAATGGTCTGTTAGCATGGTTGTTACATGACAATGTCAGATTTCTTTAGAACATTTCTTGAAAATTCCCATTTGGATTTTCTTGCCAGTATGTCAGCTAAACAAATTAGAAGTCTGTCTGTGGTTTGTGTACTGTTACATACAGAAAAATTGGGGTCCCTGGTTTGTTCTACTTATAACAAACCAGAATCATAAATCAAGAAGTAACCCTGACTTATAATTAACTAGTTAAAAGATTAAGAACTCAGGAATTCTTATGTAACATTAAATAAATTTTAGGCCAGCTTCCTAGTTTAGTTCCTCCTGCTGGCATTTTATTATTTTATTTTATTATATACCATTTTATTATGCATCTATTTGATTGATTACATGCTATTAAGTCGTTGTCGACTCTTAGCGACCACATAGATTGTCACTTTATATTTTCTATCCATGTGGTTTTCTTGGTAAAAATACAGAAGTGATTTACCGTTGCCTTATCCCACGCATTATAAGTTGCTGCCTTTGCCATTGTTACTAAAGTGATCATCCGCCTCCGGCATCTTCCTTTATCACTGCTGCCCAATGCAGGTGCCTGATTCCTTTAGCTGGGCAGTGGGATGACCTTCATGCCTTAGGTGAATATATACTCTGGGAATATATACTCTGGGCACACACTTCCACCATTCTTCGCTCATCCCTCTCAGGAACACCTCCCTGCCACTATGAGGCAGCACAACAGGATTTGGGGGGATGCATTTATTTAGAGGTACCAAACTTGGGCTACAAAAATCTGGATGACTGACTGATGGCAGCAAATAATTCCAAAAACACTACAGTAATCTGTTTCTATCTAGTGGTGGATTGGATTTTTAATAGCACCCCTTTTTAATTTAATGTATTTCAAAATTTGAGACCTAAGAGAAAAGCCTTATGATTAACTGAGGCTATAATTCACATTTCATAATTCAATCACAATAATGCCAAATGTGGCATAAAAAAAATTAAATGTACACTTATAAGTTCTTATAACTGAATTAATCTAATGTTTCTAAGTACTGTATATGGACAGTTCCATCTAAAACTAAACTTTAAAAGTGTAGTAAGAATACATCCATCCATCCATCCATACATACATACATATATACACTAAATTACCTGCAAATTCCTGTGGGTATTTTTTTTAGAAATAAGTCATACTCTCTGATGAGTGGGACTTGCTCCTTAGTTACTGTGTTTAGGGTTACATCATACTGCAAAATGTGGTCTGCTTTTTAACTAGTATTAGGAGGAAGCTACATTTATGTTCCAGATATCATTACTAGTTTGGGATATATCATAGCCCCTCCCCCCAGCTTATTTAAAGTAATTTTCTGGAAGGAATGAAAAATGCATTTTATTTGGACTGAAGATTTGAGTAGGCAGACTTGAAATTAAAATATAATGGAATGTTTCCTAATAAACAAAACATTAAAAGTGGCCAATATGGAACTTAGAACACTACCCATAGTCAAGATATATTATCATGGCCAAGATTATGCTTCTATTCTCTTTTATTCCATTCTTTTTCTTAGCAATTCCTCCTCCCTCTTATATTATCTCTATTTACCTAGCAAACATACTTCTACTGAGCATAACAATAGGAAATACAAGTTGGGGATCTTCTGTTTGCCACTGGAGTGGATTAACTGCTTTTTCAGGGCAAACTACTTTTCACAATTGTGCCCACTTCTAGAGTTGTTTATCATAAAATGGCATTCATGGCCATTACTACATATTTAACGCTTATGAACAAAAATTGCAGATTACAAATGAAGTTTCAACTTCCAGCACTGTTACTTCAAGCCAGATACTGTTGTATGAGGAGCGTCTGGAAGATATGCGTCAAGAGCTTGTCCGTCAGTATCAAGAACATCAGCAGGCAACAGAAATATTGAAACAGAGTCACATACAACAAATGGAGAGGCAGAAAGAAAATCAAGAGCTTCTCCTAGCAGAGCTTGATAATCTTAAAGTACAGTTAGCAGAGGTAATGTGAACCTTTAAAACATGGGTATGAACTGGAACTTCTAATATTTCATATATCTGGCCAACTTTTATGGTTCAAGGTATCTTAAAAAATCATTAATATAATTACAATACATTTTATGTGTTGCATTTGCTGTGAGGATGAAACCTATTTCTCGTGATAACATCATTAATATTATTCCATATTGTACACAAATAAGGAGATAAGTCAATCCCAGTGAGTTGGAGTATTTATTAGCTTATATCATATGGGAGAATTTGATACCACCTAAAATTGTAATTATTTGTTGTATTTCTTTATATTGTTGCATTTGCATTGTTTCTCATATGAGATGCATTTTTGTTTTTAGAATGTCACATTGGATAATGAAAATGCCATAACAGAAAGAGAACAAATGCTTTTAGATGAACTAGAATCATTAAAGAAGCAATTAATATCTGGGAGAGAGAAGCAACTCTCTGAGCTAAAAAACTGCAGTACTCAAACACAGGTAGTGTTGACTTGGACTGTCTTTTGCTGCTCTGGAATGTAAATACAATGGCATTGTGACTGTGCAGTGTAGGTCATTCCCAGATGATTGTCAGATTTACTTAAATGGAAGTTGATCACATAGGAAGGTGGAGTTTAGCTGACATTGTATTGAAAGCAAAGTCTTATTTTAATATTGCTATAGTAACATCCAACAGGGACACAAGAAACTGTTTACTTAGCATAACTAATTCTTACAGGCAGTGACTAAAGTTCTTCCATTTCCAGTATAAGATGTCTGATAACCGGATAGTTAATTATTATTTAGAATTGCTTGAAACTTGTGAATTATTCTTTTTTAAAATGTTTTTAATCATCACCATGAATTAGAACAGTATGGTGATTGCAGTATGACAGGATTTTTGTCTCTTTTTTCTTCTCTCCCATTACCAAAACTTACCCAGAATGAAAGTGTAAATCAGTCTGAAACTAAAGAACATATTTTACAAGTTGAAGATGCAGAAGAAGAACATGAACAAACTTCTCTGGACATTCTTTCAAAAGAAAGGTAAGCTGTCAGAAAGGCTAAAATGTCTCAGATTTAGTGAGTACATTTTCTACAAGAAGCAGAAGAAATGTTTTTGATCTTGAAATTGTGTAAGATCAAGTTTGATAGGTTGGAGAAGATCAGGCTTTCCCAGACTCCACAATTTCATGGTGGCTGAGAACTTTGAGGCTTATAGCAGTAACATCAAGAGAACAGTAATTGGGGAAGATTTATAGAAATAACAGAACTATGCTTTCGTAAAAATCAAGCTAAATATAAATAAGGTGTTTGTAATTCTGTTTTTATTTCAAGACTTGTTTAATTTAAGTGGACTTAGATTGAATTCTTGTCTTTTTTTAGTTTAAATAGTCCCACATTGAAAGTATACCCAAGCAGATAGATTTAGAATGTAATTACTAAATTAAATATATAGCTGCATTTTACATGTGGTTGTGTATTATATATGGAAGTGCTTTGTCTGTATTTTAAACATTTTAACTCCATATTATACTCATGCCTTTATTCGAAATGTTTATTTACAATTTGACTTGGGAGATTAAATGAAACTTTCTAATGTTGTTTGCCATCTTTTTTGCACCTTATCATTTCCATTACAGCATGCATACACAAATAGTCACTTTAAAAACTAAATTATGTCAGGTAGCATATATTTAGTTCTTGATACCTTCAACCAGTCAGATGGTGTCTAAATCAAATAAATTAAATTTGTGTTCTTTGTTCAATTTCTCTGTCCTTCCAGCGGATTAATCCATTCCTATTAATTATTTTTCATACCCTTATTAAAACTAAGCATGTTTTTTTTAGAGTAGTGAAATTTTCTTCCAAACCAAAAATGCAGTTGTGGTGTTGAGGTATCTTGAAGCATGACTAAGAAAGCAAGCCTAATCATAGCTTTTAGGGAGTTGTCCTGAATGAACACTGTAGATCTTATTTCTGATTAAGCATGAATAATAAGCAAGAGCTATTTTGGATCAAATCAAAGGATCATTTAGTCCAGCATTTTGTTCCTCCAGTGGCCAACCAAATGCCCACAAGCACTATATAATTGCAAGAGCTTTTTCCTACTTCTGTTCCCC